CAACTATGAACACTTTTAAAATAACATTAAAAATTTGAGAAAAATTGTTTACAGTATATATATATATATATAATGAATACAATAGTTGTACTTTAGGAAAATGCACAAAAAAACTAAAACGAAAAAAAAAATTACTTAAGTTAGAAAACAAAATAAAAAAAAATTTTAAAAATAACAATTAGGTCACATTTGCAAGCGTGCTTATGAATCTACTTACCAAAAAGAAAATGATTTGGTCATATCCAATTGTCGTATGTTGTATTTTGAATCTAATGAGAATCCCATCTCTCTTTCGATTTTAAGCTGGGAGAGGAGCAGATAGGGCTGTCAAAAAAGCTCGTTGTTCGCGAACAGTTCGTGTTCGGTTTGTCAATGAGTTCGTGTTCGATTCGTTCGATAAGTAAATGAGCTAGTGATCGGTTCGTGTTCGGCTCGTTCGTTAAGAAACGAACACGAGCTTATTTCAAACAAACTAAATTTTAAACGAACCGAACACAAACACAAGCTTTGTTCGTTCGTGTTCGATTCGTTTACACCCCTAGGAGCAGATATGTGGAGCCCGATAATGAGAGAATGTCAACAAGCATAAATAAAGGAAAAAAAAAACAGGAAAATAAAGAAAATCCCAAAGTTTAAGCTTAGTACGAGAGGAATCTTGACAAATCTTGACAGTGAGGTAGAAAATGCCAAACAACAAACCTAAGGAAAAACCTTAGGGATCTAGACGCCGATCTCAAAAGATGGAACATGGAATGAACCCTAGGCTCCAAAAGCCTCGATCTCTATATTTGTTGTATTCATTTTTTTCTAGACAGGTCGGGCCACGTTGTTTCTTTCTCTCATTTTAGAATAAAATATATTCTATAGAATAAAAAAATAATAGAAAATAATTAACATGTGGCATTTTCGGATTGGCTTTCTCACGCCCACACTTTTTTTTCCCAATATTAAAAAAAAAAAAAAGATATTTAATAATTTTGTCCGCCCTAAGAAATAATGCAGTTCTGCCCTATATAAAATGAAATTATTCATGCTTATGTGAAGAACAAATAAATGTCAAATAATGGTTCATGGCATGTCGGACCGCAACAGCTTCATCACAATTAAGTGGCTCGAGAAGGCTATTTGCACCAAGTTATGAGGATTATCTTAGCCATCTGATTGATCGGCAAACCAAGTAATTTTGTACGTTGGAATTGTCTGTGTGAGAAATTTAGAGATCATTTGGCACTTTGAATGGATTATTTGGTTAAAGTTTTAAGCTCTTTTTTAAAGCTTTTTTTTCCAAGTAATTGAATGATATGTCCGGCATGAAAAACAGTGAACAAACAACAAAAATTATATAGAGAGGTGGGGAAACTTCAACGGGAGCTAATTTTACTAATACTAACAAAAAAAAAAAATAAGATACAACGTTGATGTACTGTTTGAGTGATAGGATGAACACAAAAAAGGAATTGTACCAAATATGACATGAAAATAAATCCTAGCTAATTAGCCCTCCTCAATACTCTTCAAGTCCCCTCTCGTATTTTCCTCCCAAATTTCCCCTTGATTTTCCTCCTCCTGTACGTGATTAGCAGTTGAGTGAGCCCTGCTTGGGCACTGGGATTGCACTCAGCTTTTCCCAGGAAATTGATGGTCGAGGCTGACTTCGTTGGGTCGCAGGCTGGTTTGGCTTGGTCTGGCCGGTCTAGACGGACCCCGCTTGGATCGACTTATCTATAGGGAAGACTCTCCCGTCGGCTGGAGAAAGAGCGGGCGTGTCGTTGAACTCTTTTGATACTGGAGGATTCATTTCCATGAATTTATCATCTTCACTAATAGTGTAGTATCATGAATTCTTATCCATCGGGATATGCATTAACTCTTATCCATCAGAATATTGCCTGTTTTGGCCTAATGCCTCACGATTTTTTCCTATTGGTGCAACTTCTTAAGAGGTCACCTATCTTGAGAGCACTCCCAAATTAACACACATAACTTTTGAGTTTTTGATGAAATTTCAGTTATTATACCAAAAGCCTCCTTAAATGTTTACGAGTTCAATTTTATTCTACTTGAGAGGCTTTATAATCTTTTTTCGCTTACGCAACTGACATCATCGTTAATCTTTTTAACTCAAAATCACCCATCTAACAGATAAAATTTTAGAGACAAATCCATGTAGCACTTGTCCCATCTAGAATTCAAGAGGTAGCTTCCATGATAGAACACTTTGTTCAATATGACACTTAGTTTTCATCTTTAAACTTGTGCTTTCCTCTAATATCATTTGTAATAGCTTGAACTCTCACTCATCGAGATATTTGTCATTTTCGCCCAATGGCCTCATATTTTTGTCCCAATAGCACACTCCGTTACACTAAAATTAGCCTTCGATGTTTAGGAATGCAATTTGATTCTACATGACAAGCATTCACAGGCTGTTTATTAAAATCAAAATTCCAAGCATTCACAGGCTGCTTATTAAAATCAAAATTCTTACATTCCAGAATTAAATTTTGAGATGTCTGACTAATACTCTCCGCATAATTTACAGTAAAAATCGCCCTTCAACTCATTTACAATCTACTAAAACGTTAAGCGCCACCGAAATTATTTCCAGGCTATGTTTATAAATGAATATAATAAAAATTGTGCCGTATTGGTGTGAATCTCAAACTTTTTTGACCTATTTTATAATTTTAGTTTGATTTGATCGAATTTCAAAATCACATCTTAGTGTGATTTGCTCAATGGGCACCACTGAAGCTTACCCACCACCACTGTCGTCTGCCGCTAACCATCGTCTCCAGGCAACACCGCTATCGGTCATCGTCGGGTCCCCCTCCGGCTGCTGCTGATGGGAACGACCACCATCATCTTCCACCATCACCACCATCATAGTCACCGTCAAACACCACCACCGCATCCTTCTGCCGACGTTGCCAACCACGGGTAGACCGCTCTCACATTGTTTTGAAATATATTATTTTCATTTTACTTCAAATAAAACAAAAAGAATAAAATCGCTTATTTGTTTTGCACATAACAAATAACTCCAAATTATTTCTACAGTAATATAGTATTCCTGCATTGCATTTATTTTTTATTGAATTCTTAGGCACATGAGGCATAGTCGAGGCTCGCATAATAGCTTTAAGCCATTCCTTATATATATATATATAATTACAGCTATTGCTTAATTCTGGCCAACTATTTATACTATAATCATGAAATATATTTATTGTAGCTCAATTATGATTATTATGACCAAACAAGAATTATACATCTGTGATCATTAGCTTTGTAATTTTATCACATCTAATTCAGGAGAAGATTGGACATATATACTTGCAATTACCTAATATATTAATTTGACTATGCTATGTCTTATAATTTTTTTCCTCTCTAAAATATTTTCAGGTAAAAAGTCTTTATGTCTCCTCCTGCTAACACTAAAACGTTAGTTTTTTAATTGCTATTAATTTCGGGCACAACACTAATTTTTATTTCAATTTTAAAAGCATATTGAGAGTGATATTTTTTGATTTGATGTTACAAACTTGAATGGATTGCACTTAAATATGAATATTTAGATGTTAAATATATAAATGCTAAAGAATTTTGTGGTAATGGTTTTCATTTTATTTTATTTCATTTTATTTTGTGTGGAGGAGGACACTTGACAAACCATTAGGGGTGTAAATGAACTGAACACGAACGAACAGAGCTTGTGTTCGTGTTTGGTTCGTTTGAAATTAGTTTGTTTGAAATAAGCACGTGTTCGAAATTGTTTGTGAAATCGCTGTTCGTGTTCGTTTCTTAACGATCAAGCCAAACACAAGCTGTTCACGAACGACAAGCCAGTTTGACATCCATA